AGCTCACTTCAGGCGCTTTGCCTAAGCCCCCCTAAGCCTAAGCCTAGTAATGATCATTTGTCCATTGTTTATTTGAATTTTACAGGTCTCCTTCAGCTCAGGCTTCCATAACGACTTATTTGTTGACGCGGTTGCGCAAAAGTACGTCTTGTTTTAATAATTATTTTGTATATATTATGTCTTTTTGCCGTTGGTTTTAACTCTTCGATTGTTTTTTGGCGAGAAGAGAAGAGCGAACGGAACCGACAAATACCGAAGCATTTCTCTCCCTGTACAGTGCCGGTGCCTGCAAGTGGCGAAAGGTACGACTACGAAACCGTTCTGCAAAGTATTACAAAATGTAATACAATAATAAATTTTAGAAATAAAAAGATAAATTACGAATCCGTAAAAATATAAACCTTTAATATAAATTAAAATAGAACTACGTGATTAATAAATCCTTTAAACTTATCCAGGTTTGGCTTCGCGTTGAAATAATTCCACCCCCAGCCCTTTTGTCCAAGTAGCGAATCTCTCTAAAAAATTGTGTGCTCTGGGCTGTGTTTTTACCCAAGAAAGCACCCCTAACCATCCAAAAATGACGATTTTTTGAACCCGCTCCTCACGGCATTGCTCCCTGACCAGCCACTTAAACGACAACTCAACTACGGTTTTTGAGCACACACATCAACAGGAGGCACGCCATCCCGATCCGCTTCCGTTAATTTATCGATTTAAGCATCAAGCTTCAGACTACGGGTTCCGCGTTATATCAAAAGCGTGTTTATATTATACATTTATAATGAAAGGCACGTGGAAATTTTGCAATCCCGGCTACCGCCTTCAAATTCAAAATAGGCAACAGGCCTCCCCGATAAGGTCGGTAACATCTACCCCCATTCCCTATGTAAATAAACCGAATTTCAAGGATCAAATATCACTTCCCCGTTTCTCCACATACATACAAACACACTGAGCCTCCGGTCACTCTCTCTACTCTCTCTCTCTCTCTCCCCACTCTCTCTCTCTCTCTCTCTCTCTCTCTCTCTCTGTCCAATTGTCCTTATCAGCCTCCGATCGGCCCGGAAGCCCCCCAAACCTAATACATTCCCATTCAATCACCCCCGATCAGAATAATTGCTCCCCTCCCGCGGGTTTTCCAGTCTGTTCTTCTTGATCCCCGAGGGCCAAAAACCTGATAAGGAAGCCCTATCCCTGAAAAACCAGGCGGAACCCACGGTAAAATTTCATGCGCGTCCAGCAAAAATTTCAGGGTGGCATTCAAGGCAGCTTGGGAATTTGCGCTCTCTATAGCTTTACAAAAACTTCATAATACTTTATACGCTTTTTTAGTAAAATTTAATTAAATTCTTGTATAAAAGTGTCTACTATTTTTTAGTTCCTAAAACTTGTTGAATATTGCTAGGAATTCTAAATATTTTTAGTTTCTTTTCCATCGTTTTCATGTCGTAAATCGTTTCACACCATTTTTATTTTCAATCAGCATTTTGCGTTTTGTTCCATAAATTTTAATGACATTTCCATCAACAAAACCTGATCCAATTTTTTACGCTATTCCAGGCTTGGCAATCCTCCAAATCCTTGTTTTCCGCTCCAAAACGACCCCCATTTGCGTGCCGTGAATTTCCTATGAACCGCCCGCCCGTTTGAACTTGCACCCAAACCCGGCTTTTCCAATTCCATGGCCTCTTGCAGAAGTGCTCATTTTCCTATTCAGAACATGATGCGGATATTGTTTTTCGGTGTGTTTTAGCTGTTGTGCCAGGGCATGGTGCCAGCGACGGGATACATACGGGCTCTACGCGGCAGAAACGGTGCGGTCTGGATGCCGTTTCCCGGCACCAGAGGTTCGGATACCGTTGTACCCAATCACTGACAGTGAGGTCCTGAGTTTAAAAAATTTAGCGTTGTGTAATTTTGTTAATGATGCTAAATATTGCACCAGGCCTTCCATGAGATCCGACGACCTGATGGGACGGACTTACACTGATATCGACAGGAAATTTGTGGTATGTAAGAGTTTGTTAATTTTCCTTAGGCGCGTGCCGTTGTAAACCAATAACGGCAAAGATGTATATAAATACTTCATGTTATTACATAATTCGATAACTAAAATCAGCTAAAAGCTCTAAAAATTTGGGTAGAAGGCTGCGCCGACGATTTCGGGCCTTGGAACGACCCAGATCCCTATATCGTGGTGAGCATCGGTGCCCTTACGTTGGGCATACTGTAGCCATTACGCATCGAAGAAAAACTATGTAAGTTTTACAAAACAAAGTTCTAGATTTAAAAATGTAAAATTACTTTCAAATTAAAAAGCCTCGTTTTATAGCATCGCGTCTCTAATTTTTAAGTAAATTTTACTACCAATTACCTCATACCTGATTAATGCTATTTAAAAAACTTACTGGCACCATCCCTTTAAACCTAAAATTCCAGTGTCGACGTCTGGAAAACGTTCATGCCAATGGAAACAAGCGTCGGCTTGGTACGACTCGACCTGAACCAAGAGGGCTAACCATAGATCTGCAGCTAGCATACCAAGCAAAATCGATCCCTTGAAATCCCGTATTTACAGTACAAATCCCTCATCAAAATGTGGCTGGCCCATTGTCATTGTCCCCTTCGCAATTTGAGTGTATAAATTTCGACAAGAAAGTGCAAATAAATACGTACTATCGAATCGGGGGCGGAAAGCCAGGGGGGAGAGAGCGGAACGCAATAGAAAAGGATCTTTCTAGCTCGGGCACACTTTAGAGAATTCGCCATGAATAATTAAAAGTTCCATTAATATACCGCCATTAAATTTAATCAATGCTACATAGCCAGAGGGATTTGTAAGCTAAAAAATATTCCGGTTTTTGATCAAATCGTGGAATCGCTGGCTCATTTATGAGGTTCAATTTTTTTAACCGCATGAATACAACTTTCGCAAAATGCTATTTTTAGCATCTCAGAGAAACGGATGCACTTTTGGAGCCCGTTATAGGATTTTTTGAATCACAGGGAACGATATTTTTGGGTGGAATCTGATACCTCATTTTTATTTCTGTTTTGAACATCTCGGATTTTTTGTACATTAGAAGAAAAAACGATTTTTATTTTGTACAGTAACGTACGTTTTACAAATTCTGATGGCAAGAACCATCGGAACAAACTAATTAAACAGTTTTATGGCATTAGCTTCCACGCGCTGGATCGTCGAAAACAAACGAATAAAATATCATATGCAATTATCTAGGAAACGCTCGAAAACGACATCATCCAAATCAAGAAAACTTTGCTCTCTCTCTGTCTCTCTCCCTCTCTAACTGATCGCCATGATGCAAATTATTGTTTCGCAATCAGCCTCCTCCACGTGCCATATCAAATGTCGTATGACAAATGAGGGACAGCGCAATATGATGGTTGGGGGATGATAAACAGTTCCTTTTGCCTCTACTCATCCCTCTTTCCCCCTGCCTCCCCCTTCTTTTAGTTTATTTCCCCCCGACCATTTTTTGTGGCCTCGTTTTTGGCACGCTCCCGGTGGCATGGACGGCAATATTTATACCCCTTGACCGAGCCAGGAAACTGGTTGTTTTGGTCGCCAAAGTGGCTATATTTTGGTTGTGTATTTTGTAGTATATTTTGTTCCTTATCTTTACTCTAAGATATTAGATTAAAGCTAGATACACTTTTTCAGAAGCAAATCTTAACGAAAATCGCCTATCAAGCTCATCGCGAGAAACCGGCCATGAACAAGCTTGTATTCACCATCTTTTGCAGTTGCCTAATTATTTATATTTATGCGAAACCGGTGGAAAAGTTAGTTTAATTAAAAAATACATATTTAATGAATTTACAATCAAAAATATTTTGCTACATCGATATTTTCAGTGGCTCCTATGATCGCGATATCAGCCATGGAAATAAGCAAGAATTTGAAGAAAGATTTGACATTCCGTATAAGGTAATTTAAATTTAACATTTATTTTTCAATTTGGAACTATATTTAAATTATATTTAAAATGAATTCTTAAAAAAAGGTCAATTTTTGCTATTTTTATTTTTACTACCAAACTATTTATTTTAGGAAGCCTTCGAAAAATGTAAAACCTCGACGCTGCCAAAACTGAAACTCCGACTCCTCGACTACTGCCACTGGCTGGCCTACTACCAATACCCGGTCGATAAATCACCATTTGCACCCGAATAATTGCTCACCAATTAATTTTGATGTATTTATCAGTACAAAAGTGTAATAAATATACCTAAAATGGACATAAAAATCGATAAACACCTTGCGAAATTTGTGTCGTAACTGATTTCCAAGAGGAAATTGGCCGCTTCATTGTCCTCGCCCTCGCCAGTGGCGGCGTAGAAAATTCGCGATTCAAACAGCTCGCTTTCGAACTCGACGATGCTTGGTTTGGTCTGGGTGCGATTTAGCCTAAATATATGGGAGTTTTAAGCTAAAATTAAAACTTACAATTCTCTATGCTCTCTATTAAAGCGGATGTAGAAGGTATCATCGGCATGTAGGGCGGCTGTGTATTTGATTTTTATTTTTCTTTCGACGTCATCGATAATTGGGCTCCAAGAACAGGCAATTGCAGGGCAGCCCTAAATATGCACAATAAAGAGAGAGAGATAGAGAGAAAGAGAGAGAGAGAGAGAGAGAGAGAGAGAGAGAGAGAGAGGGGAGGAGATAGAGAACCCAAACTAACCAATCGAACTGTCTGATTGATCAAAAAATGTACAATCGTCCCATTCATAAAAGTTTCTTTCATCGGAGCGCAATCACAGCCTAAGCCTGCCATTAAAATACCAGACTTTCCACTAACCTGTTGGTATATTCACCTCTGTGATGAGTCCCTTAAAGTCACCAGTAGTTTTTGTATACCTAAAACGGGCTTAAGTACTACGCACTTAACGCTTACTCCATAAAAACGCGGTCTCTCGGAACGACATATTCCAGCTCCTTATCACTAGTGCCAAGTAGCCTAAAAATTAGCGTAAATACGTTGATTTTTGAGGTATACTCAAAATCGTCAGATCCCAACTCTTCGTTCCGGAAGTATACGGGCGCCATGATGTTATTAAATTCCTCGATGGCAATGCGCATTCCTTTTCGGGCAGTGGCATTTTGATGGTACTTCAAAAGACATACAGAGATTTAAGGATACCTACCCAATTTGATCCTAAAAATTCGAATATGAAGTTTTCTTCGCTCCGGCTTTCTTCCTTGACCAAATGGAAGCGGTCGAGGGTTTTGGAAAAATGGTAAGTGCCGCCGACTGAAAATCCACTTTAATGTGGTCTAAAATATCTTATTATTTGGTCAAAAGCTCGAAATAAGAATTTTTTTTTGATGAAACTATCACATACGGCCACTTTAAAGGTATCTTTTCACGTGAAAAGGTTATTTAAAAAATCTCGAAAGTATTGCAATTTTACCTGGCATCGGCGGACCCGCGTCATCACCGCCGGAAATCGCGGCACCAAATAAGCCATACAAAACATACAAAAATACACGCATCATAGCAGTACGAAGCCGATAATTTTGATTTTAGGACGCTATCACGAAAAACATTGCGGTATCCGGCCGACTCTCTGGCTCACAGGGGGGATCAATATGGGGACAAGGTCGTCGAGAGTCAGGCCGTTGTGGAAAGCCAATTTTCCGGGGCTCCAAAATTGGCCAGGTGCCACCGGTTGGTAACCAGGTTAGGGGAAAAATGATCTCGGGAAAACCATGGGAGAATGGTCGTTCCGGTAACTTTGTATAAAAAAACCCCAGTGCGTGCGATGACTAATCTAAATGCCAAAAGTTGCATTAAAAATAAATATCTCGCTCTCTCTCTCTCTATCTCTGCGTTTATCTCTCGCTCTCACTCTTTTTATAGCTGCTTCTACAGGGTGGGCAAAAAAAAAAGCCCACAGTTTGGGTCGAAATAACTCGCGGACGGTAGAGAATCGAAGGTACGTTACCATGCCAGAATGCTTAAATATGCTGGGTATGAAGATTTAACACAACTTGATTTTTTCGATTTTTGAGTACGCAACTGTACTATTGACGCTGGTTACGACCGAAAATTGTGCGTTCTTGAACGGGTGGTGGGAAAATTCTGATTTTTTTGTCTAAAAATAGCATAAATTTGTAGAAATGTAATGGCAAAATTATAGAATTTTTCGAGGTCAATTTCATTTTTTAAAAACAAAATAATTTTCGTGAGTTTTCGTTATTTTTCTTCTTTGGGTGATAACTCGCTTATAACTCACTGCCTATGGCTGGTTTTTTGCCAATCGCTTATCCAAATACTAATATCGGATCCCACACCATATTCCACCACAATCTATGGTATTTTTGTATTGCTTGCTAAAACGTGCCCCAGTGGGGTACTGTAGGTTTCGTTTTTCCCGCTTTTCACGGGGCCCCTAGTTTCGATCCGGCTGAAATTTTCTGGGTTGTTAGACCATAAGTAGGGGCATCTCACTGCCAAATACGGGAGCGTACCATCCACAAACTTTCATGAAAAAGGCTAAAAACTGATTTTCTAGTTCTGCCACAGAATTTTCTAAATTTTTTGGTCAATTGGTGAGAAAACTGCTATTATTGGTTTTACCAAAAGATCGAAACAATTCCATGGCAAAAACACCACGAAAATCGCAAATTTCGGTTTTCTACCGTAACCCCGGTGGAGCGCGTTTTAGCATGCCATCGCAAAATTCCACAAATTGACGATTTTTCTATTCGAGGGCCTTCTAGAGATGATTGTAAGAGAGCCTGTCAAAAATGAATGATTTTGGATGGTAAATAACAAAGTTACGAGGCCAAGTGCAAAACACGGCCAGAGAGCCGATTTTTGGTCCGAGTAGCCGGGGTCAATTTTCGAATTTTTAAAAATAAAAAAACCAGCTGGGGCTTATGGATACGATTATAGTTTTGATGTTATTATCTACGCTCGTCAAATTTGGGGGCAATCTGATTCATGAACATGCTGACTTTCAGCTCAAAATCGAAGATCACCCTATTCCAAAATCGAAGTTTAGAAATCTTCTTAAAATGTTTGCGACGTGAAATTGCTTTAATCTTTGCACAGTTTTATTTAACTGATGGCACTGACTTATTGCTCAAAATATCCCTACGACTCCGCCTTCCAAAATTTTTTTACGCATCCTCCAAATCGGTTTATTTCGGGTTTTGATGAATTTTCTTGGCGCCAACGGCGGGTTGAAAAAATTCATGAGTGAGGCTTTAAGATGCGCTATTCAACCGGTATCAGATAAAAATTCAACGATAATTTTCACAGCGCGACTAAATTTTATAAAATGGTGGCAAGATTCGGAAAAAAGCACGAACCAACCGTTTTGGAGGCCCTAAAAGACGCCCTTCCAAAGGAGTACGGTAGCTCGAAATTTTGTAGATGATATATCAACCCCAGAACTACATAGCTAAGGAAAGAAAACAGCTCAGTCTCCTTTGGCAATTTAGAAATATTTTTCCCAAATTCAGTTTCGAGACCTCGAAAAATCCATGACCAGGGGGTCGTTGAAAAACTCAAAAATTCGTCGATCTCTAAAATTTTTTTAATGTGTTTATGCAATTGTGCATAGTCCGTAGGTATTCTACAACAACTTATTTTGAGGGTTTTCGCCATAGGTTTTTTCAATATTAAAAATTTACGAAATTTCTCCATACAAAATTTCATTCCTCTCTAACTTTTCAACCAGACCCTCAAAAATTCTTAAATTTTGTAGGTATATACCTGCTGCTTATATTAACTTACATAATAAAAATTAGATGCCAGCCACCACAGGAAACTGAGAAAAATGCAAATGAAGTTTCCCCGAACGCACAGTTTTCGGGTGTCATTTGTATTGATACGTCGCCAAAAATCGAAAAAATCAAGTTGTGTTAAATCTTCATACCCAGCATATTTAAGCATTCTGGCATGGTAACGTACCTTCAATTCTCTAACGTTAGTGAGATATTTTGACGCAAACTGTGGGCTTTTTTTTTGCCCACCCTGTATATCTTTCCTCCACTCTCTGGCGTACCAACTCACTCTCTCCCTCGCTCTCTCTCTCTCTCACGCGCTCTATTTCTGCTTCTCGCCTTCTCTCTCCACAGCCCTTATTAATGCCGACACTTACCCTAACGATTTTTCTGGCCTATTGATAAACCCCACACGCCTCC